TCTTCTCCACGGGCGACATGAAGAGGAGGAGGGACCTCGCCCCCTCCGCCCGCGCCGCGTCGCTCCCGCCCACCGCGCAGGGCCTGCTCCCCGCCGTCCCAGACCGCTCGCTGCTGTGTTATCCCGCGCACACCCCGCCCGGCGACGCCCCGCCGCCCGCGCCGGAGACCCCGCCGCCGGCATCGAGGCAGGAGAGCGCGCTGCGCGCCCTGGCGTCGCTCAGGCCGACGTCGTTCAACTCGGACTCTGCTCGAGGCGGCGGCGCCGGCGGCGGCATCGGCGGCGCGCCCCACGCCCCCGCGCTACCGGATCAGCCCAAGCGCCGCCCGTGGGAGTTCTCGCTCGTAGAGAGCCCGATCACGCCGCTCCGCAGCCGCACCCTTGCCGCCGTGCCCGACGGCGAGTGGGTCATGGCCATGTGGCGCGGCGCGCGCGTGTCCGTCATGGTTATTCGATGCGATAGACATCGCTTTTATCGCGAGGGCGACTACCTCTATGCACTGGGCCAGAGCCCGAATATCCCGACCATGCTCGGCGGACACTGGGATCACGCCGCGGATCACATGCCGAAGAAGAATTCCAAGAAACACTACCCCTCTAATTCCTCGTCTTCCGCGTCATCGGTTGGCCCCGCCCACCCCAGGGCCTCGCTGTCGCGCTCGTCATCCGATGATGCCAACGTCGGCTACCTCATCCTGGACGTCGCCAATGGTGTTAGTCTGGACAAGCTGGTGCGCGATGGAAAGCTGTCGGACACTGTCACCCAGATACGTGTCCTGGACCGCATTGTCGCCGCCCTGGTGTATGCCCAGAAAATAGATCCGCTCATTACGCACCAGGACATCCATCCGGGAAACATTCTGCTTGTCCCCTCTGCCACGCTCAACGCGTCCGCCGTGGCGGTCGCGCACCCGCCAGACTTGGGCCATCTCAGTCCAACCTCTGCGTCGCTGGATATCGATACCTCTTCCACGTCCTCGGATCGCCACCTCCAGAGCCTGGGTGGAATCCACCCCACCGCTTCCATTTCCACCGTCGGCGGCAACAGTGACAAATCCACACTCACCGCCGTCGATTATATTAATACAACCTCAACAACTCCCGCCGTCAATATTATCGATCCGCACCCATTCCCCACCCCGCGTGTCGTCACCACGGCGGGTGCGGAACCTGATGTCGTCATTGATGAATTTGGCTCGCCACAAAAGAAGGGCGCCCCCGTGGCTGCTCTTGTCGCGCAAAACCAGAAACGCTTACGGAATGATCTGGAGCCCAAGTTTCCAAAGCCAAATCTTTTGCCACACATTCCGAAAGTCGAGGAAGTCACGGAGGCCTTGACCGTCTTGGAGCGAGTCGCATTGCACAATGAGTTGGATGCTTCGGTTGGCGCCGACGTAAATCGCGATCTGTGGAAGCCCTTGTCACACCCGCATTCGGCGACCGACGCAACCGCGTCGTCGTCGATAGAAAAACAAAAGCGCCAACGCACAGCCACCGCCTTCGTTGGCCGCGAAAAGACCGATAGTATTGCCGCTTTGACCACTACCACCACCACCACCACCACCACCACCACCGCTACAACCGCCTCAACAAGCACAACGACCACGGCCGCTACAAGAAACACAAACGCAACCAACAAGGAAGAGCCGTCGCATTCTGTGGAGTCGTTGACCCCAACAATCTCACCCTTCACCGTCAAAATCATGGATTTTGCCTCGGTGAGTGAGGCCGGTGGCACCCGAAAGAAAATGTCATGGAGCTCCAATTCCAACATCGCCGGCTATTGCCCTCCCGAGAAAGCAACCACGAGCATGTGGCGAAGGTTGTACCATACGAGAGAAAAAGAACGTGAACGGAGCCGAGATCGCAGTCGCCGGCCGATGGTCGGAAGGGGCCCTGCAAACGGACGTCATAGCCCACGACCGCAACCTCGTCGTAGAAGCAGCAATGGTATAGCAGGTGCGACGGGAACCGTCACCGCTCGCTCGGGATCCAGCGGAAGTAGTCGACGCAAGGCGCTCGACTCGGAGACGCATGCCCTCTTTGCCGATGATAACCTTGACGACTATGCAGACACAGAGGACGATGCCAACTCGGACAGTCTGGGACATATTCCGATCTCGTCACTGACCGATCGCTCTGGACGACGCGTCGCTGCAAGGGGCCCCGAGTTTCTGCGCGAGGATCTTCGTGTCCGATCGACACGTCGCGACGTCGCGGAGAACGGTCGGGGACACGTTGGACGGAGCTCATCTGATGGCGTGTTTAAGAGCAACGACAATGCGTTTGAAGACGGGGTTCTCGTCAAGGACTGGAACATTTCAGAGGGGGATACAAACGGGGGCCTGGAGTGGCAAGAGCGGATGTCCAAGATCGATGTATGGAGCGTCGGTGGACTCTTGTACTATATGTCTACGGGGAACCATCCACCACGAGATGCATGGGCCAAAAAATCTTCCTTTCTTGACGGAAAGGAGGGTCGTACTATTCCAGCAGAGACCAAGGACCTTGTCCAGATGTGCATGCAACGCGACTTAAAACAGCGAGTCTGTATGCGAGACGTGAAACGTCAGATTGACAGCGTGTTGCAGGGCCTAATGTTTGGCCGAGGTCTTTCGCTGTTGAAAACGGATCGAAAGGCAGCTTTCCTGCTTCTCGACAAGGCCGTAGGGTTCAAATGGGTACACGCCCTTGGCGATCACGAGGCCAACCTCGGAGATTCTGCATCCACATCGCTGACCGCCTCCCACCCCACCAAGCTCTCCAGCGAGCCTAGCGTGGATGTCACACGAGCCGACCAACGTTCGTCAAGCACGACCTGGAGCCTTTCGCGTCAAAAAGCTGAGCCCGAGGTGATCGGGCTCAACGACAAGACGCGGAGCGGCCTCTCTTGCCTGCCCCTAGTCGTAGTACGTCGTGTGGAATGGGAAGCCGCAGCACGCTACCTTCGGCGGTCCGAGAAGGAGCTGCTGCACCTCCGGCGGGCGCTTGTAGATCAACGCTGGACCAAGAGTGACGTCTCCGATGGGGCGGCGGCCATTGCCTACCTGTCTGAGCGTGCCGCGGAAGGAGTAACTTCGGCGCAGTCGGCACTGGGTTGGATCTACCGATGGGGCGCCGGCGGGGCGAAGAAGGACGTGCACGAAGCCATGCGACTATGGAAGCTAGCCGTGGCGACCAAAGACCCCGAAGCCGCGAATGGGTTGGGGCTCATCTTCCACCACGGGCGGGACACGATCCCCGTGGATGGCCTGCGCGCAAAGATGTACTATGAGCAAGCAGTGGCGCAAGGGTACCCGGCAGCGGCCGTCAACTTGGGGGTCATGCTACACGACGGGGCAGCGGGGCTACCGGTAGACGGGCTAGCTGCGAGAAGGCTGTACGAGCTGGCGGTGGCACACGACGACGCCATCGCAGCAAACAACCTTGCGCTGCTGCTACAGCACGGGGCGAAGGGGGTGGAACGGGACGCAGGAGCAGCGGTGAGGATGTACGAGGTGGCGATTGGACGTGGGGAACGGCACCACGCGTGCCGCAACTTGGCGGAACTGCTGTGGAACGGAGCTGAGGGTGTGCCGAAGGCAAAGGCGAACGCGGTGGAGTACTTCGCACAGGCGATGGAGAGGGGGGACGAAGGGAGTAGACGAATGGCCAGGGGGAAGTTGAGAAAGCTTGTAGCTGGAGACCGAGTGGAGAGGGGGTTGGCTGAGCGATGTTGGCGGCTAGTCGAGGGAGGGTAGAGGCGATTAGAGCCGAGGATGTACTCGAAATGTTTTATAGGATTTGTAAACGAGATTTATTTTTCGATTTGGTTCGGCAGAGACAATACGCAAAACGTCAAGCGGAACAGGATCAATAAACATCGACAGGCACGTGCCCTTTCCTGCTTCTCTATCTCGGCCCTCCCCGCTGGAACGGAGCCCGGTGCTGGAACTGCTGTCCGCGGTAGGCTTGGCCTTGCTGTTGCTGTTGTTGCGGGTTCATCAAGTGCCCGAGCCCGGAAGCGCCCCCACCCCCAGGCCCCCCACCCCCAGGCCCCCCACCCCCAGGCCCAAAGCTCGCGCCCGCGCCGTAGGGATTCCGCGACGCCCCAAAGTTTTCCGGCGTCACGTAGTTTCGCTCAAAGTTGATCGGAGAATTCAGCGCCCCCGGGAACACCCGGTCGGGCGGAAAGTCGCTCGGTGTCGCCGGCAGCGACTCGCGTTCCTCATTTGGGAGACGCTTGAGACCTACCGCCGAGTCGTTCATCATGTACCCATCCAGACCCGGGAAGGCCGACGGCGTGGCCGGGTTCATCAGGTCCATGTGCCCGAGTTCGTTCCCGCGCTCGTGCATGGCCGCGCCGTATGTCCCGTAGGCGCCCTCGCCGGAGGGAAACATGCCCCCCGACCCGCCGTCTACGCGTTCACGATAAGCTTCGTGCGCCCCGCCCGTGCCGAGCGCCGTGTGCAGCTCTTGCGAGGTGGCGGGCCGTCGGTACTCCTCTTGATGCTGCGACGGTTGCGTTACTTGAGACGCCGGGACAGAGTCGAAGGAGGGCGTGTACGCGGCCTGTACTCGTGCGTCAAACGGGGACGAGGGGTTGCTCAGTCCCGACCGCCGTTTACCAGGCTGCGGAATACTTTTGAAGCCTACTTGCTTGCGGGGGGTCGACTGGAACAGCGTGTTCTGGCTGCCCTTGCGGCCCTTGGCAGCAGAGCTCGGTGTGCCTCGCAGTAGTGTAGCCCCCCGGTCGTTGCCGCTCGCACGCCCTTCCTTTTGCCCGGATCCTTGCTTCGGCGGTTTTGCGGAAGGCATCTTACCACCTACCCGAGGGATGCCAACATCTCGCGCCTTGAGCGACGATCCATCAGAAGCGTCCATTCCTTGCACGCCAGGCACGCCACTCGCACTCATTCCGCCCCCAGGTAGCAGCGGGTCCGAATGGTCACCCGCGCCAACCGAAATATCCTGTCTCATGCTGGGTGCCGTTCTCCGTGTTGGTACAGGCGGTAGTCGCATCTGTGCCGTCCCTGGTGGTGCTTTTATCTGACTTGTTGTGACTTGTGCGCTCAGTTTGCCCCTTGCCTTGTACACTCGATTAGATCCGGTGTTCGGCAACTCTTCTGCACTCCCCTGTTGTCCTAGAACCGCAGAGGCCACTGCTGGCTGCTGAGTAGCCTGGTCGCGTCCCGCGGCGGCTTTCAAAGATGACGGCTGTGCCTTGGATGCGCTACCAGCTTTCGTACTCTTTCGAGACCCAGCACTGCGCGACTTGGCGGTGCCGCCCGACTTCTTCGTGCCCGCTTGACCACCTGATTGCGAACTAGCTTTTTTTTTTCCAGGTGCACCGGAACCCTCAGTGGCGGGCTTGACAAGCGTTTTTTCAATGACATCGGGTTTCTGCGCAGGGATCGGTACCATTTCGGAGGAAGGGGCTGCAGGCAGAATCGTAGAGCCACGGCTATCGCTACCGGTGGGCCCCTTTGGCTTTTCAGGCTGAACCTGACCAGCTGGCGCCGACGTCTTTGCAACGGCATTCGGCGCTGGCCTAGAAGCAGACCCGCTTGCGTCGCTCACCAAATCTGTGCCTTTCACTGCTTCTAGTGCTGCGCCTGCTGAAGCGCCTTTACCAGCAGACGATGCAGATTGCACTTGCCCACGTTGCACTCCGGCAGCGTCATCAGTTGCACTTTTTCGAGCATTGATGCTTGCACCAGCTCCGACAGCTGCCTTTTCTGGCGAAGGCACACCTGCCGTCGCAGTCTGTACTCCCTTCATCTTATCCGGTGTTGGTGCGTCGGCTGCCTTTGACTGAGAAGTTATTTTCTCAGCCTTCATTGCAGACGGGCCAGCAGGAACCGCCGCTCCCTGATTTTGAGCTGGTGAGGTTTTCGGTACAATGGTTCTCCCACCTGCTGCCGGGGTGGTAGAGGTGAGTTGGCTCGGACTAGTTGTCGGCGGCTTTGACGGCAGAGACGCCTTTGCACCTGCCGCCGATTGTGGACGCGGCACTTGTGTTGGTGCTGGCAAAATAGGTGTGGCAGTAGGAACTACCGGGTTTGGAGCCTTACCTTTTGTTCTCCTCGCACTTTCCGGCAGCCTTGGTATTGGAGCTGTCGCTTGTGATCCCGGTGCCGAGCCTCGTGTAGCAGTTGCCTTGGTAGACGAATCTGGCGTGGAAGTCCGATCCGTTGTTCGCACAGGAGTGTATGTCAGGCTGCTCATAGGGTTCAGAGCCGCGGCCATGTCGGATGCTGGTTGGGTCTGTGCTCCTGCTAGACTAGCCACATTTCCCGTATCCCCAACCTTGCGATGTAAACTGGGTCCCATCACAACGTCAAAGTCTACCAGAGCTCTTCGCCCAATTTCTTTTGCATACATGATGGTGGCGGAAAATTGTGCAGCAGCTGTTGCCTTCATTGCAGTCCTGATTGACACATTTAGTCCGCACAACACTCTCTTTTCGACGATCCACTCTTCTTGCGCCAACGTCGGTTCCCAGAGCTTGTAGTTGGTGCGGGCCGCTTCTATTCCTGCATCGTTTTCTGCTGAAATCCATGTCGTCTTAACTGCTTCCCCATCCACTTCTTGGAGAAGAGTCTTCTTCGCGCTCATAATACCAGAACATGTCGTGAGGTATGTGACCGCATGTCGTAGAGCACCTTTCACACAGCCCTCAACCCATTGGTCTTGCTTTTCACCAGGCTTTCTAGGGGGTTCACTGCGTCCCTCGTCCTGTAGCAGCCAAACTGTGGTGATGAGAGCGAGAAGTTCCGCTGCCTGCTTATCCATCTGCTTACCCAGCTGCGCTGGAAATACCTTGACGGGTATCGGTGCAGAAGGCGACGGGACGACCACTTGGCCCTTCGCCACAGGTGCAGCTCGAGTCGGTGTCTTCGGAACAAGGGGAGTGGCCGGCAATGGCGGTGGAGGCTTGTATTTGCCGGAGGTGCGAGGAAGCGTTTTTCGATTTGCTTTGCCACTATGTCGCAGGCCGTCTTTACTTACCCCTCCTTTCGGAACCCCTACCCTCTTCTTGACTAATCCAAGAGGCTTGACAGGCGCGGGTCTTACTGGGCGGGCAGGTGTCCTGAGGGTTCTGCTTCCTTTTGATACTGGTGCAGAGGGAGTTATTCCGACGTCCCGGCGAGGCGCAGTGGGCACAGGTTTTCTAGGGGGCGACGCCACCCCGCTCATACCATAGCGAGACTTTGTCAACTCGACAAGCGCCCGTTCCTTTTCGTTCGACAGCTGCTTTTCGCGTTCTTGCAACCGCTTCACTTCTGCTGATAATAAGTCTGATTTCCGAGAAAGATCAGAAACTTTCTGTTGTAAACCACGAGCTGCTTCGCTTTCCATGTATCCAATAGTCGGAAAGGTTCGCATCAGGCCTGAGGGCGACGACAATACCTCGGAGCGTGCAGACTCGGGCACAACCTTCTTCAGCCTCGGTTCTAAACGTGAAAGGGCCGGAATCGCATCGTGGTCTAGTGCTCGGATCGTCTTCGCAGTTTCCAACAACTCAGTGTTCTGCACTGCCATTTCATCCTTGATAACGGCGAATTGACGCTTCAGACTTCTCTCCCGTTCTTCTACAGTACGGCGATATCGCTTGACTTGATCGACCAGGTCTTCCTTGAAGCTCCCAAGATGAGCCTCAAGATCGAGATATGCATCTGCATTTTGGGCAGTCTTGGGGAGGTCGCGCGTGCGCTCCTCTTCTTCTTGCTCTATTCGCTCAATCTGCTTCACACGTTTACGTAAAGTCTTCTCGGCGGCGGCCTGATACTTTCGTATATTATGCACTTGCTTGCGTGACGTCTGAATTCTTCGCATGAGAACTGCAACCTCCTCACTTGCCCACTTTCTGGCAACCAGACCTGCCACAGACACGATGTCGGACACACGGGTCTTTGGCCTTCGTCTGTCATCAATGTACTCCACGTCGAGCGATCTGCGCCGAGAGACTGGCACCTCCCGGGTAAGGGACCCAGCAGAATGGCGAGAATCAACCATGTTAGAAGGTGCAGAGTCGTTGCGAACCGCCAGCTGTCGTGAAGGTTGTTGCCTGACAGCCAGGACTCGGTCCTCCGGCCGTCGCACGGCCAGTTGGCGCGTCTCCGGCTGTCTCACCGCAAGTTGTCTCGTATCTGGTTTTCGGACAGCAAGCCGACGACCATCTGGTGCCGGCCCAGAAACCGGCACAACACCCCCAGGTTGCCGAACAGCCAACTGACGAGTTTCTGGTGGACGAGAATCCTCCTTGGATTTTGGCGAGCGATCCGCATCCGTGTCTGGACGATTGCCGTCTTCACCAGCCATGCGTTTTTGTTCATCGGGAGACTGAAGGTTGATGACCTCCGTGTCTTCCAACTCCGTGGAATGCAGTTTCCCAGTACCCGAGTCGCCCGGAGCGATCGCGTCTCCATCTTCCTTTGCGATTGAACTGGAAGATCGCTTTCCAGGAGGTGTTTGAATCAAATCCATCTCTACTCCAGGCAATTCTGCGGCCTTCTGCTTCTTACGCTCAACGAGGTTGGCTGTAATCGCGTCAATGTCCTGGCCCCGGGACCGTTTCCGCGGCAGTTCGAATAGATCTGGGAGCGGCACATCCACTTCGTCGACGATCAAATTGAGGATATCCTTGTCGAAATCTCCCGGATCTGGCAGTCGCCCTGTGCCTGAACCCATTCCATCCCCTCTTCCTACTGACGGGGAGCGGGAGAGAATCGGCAGCACAGGTGATTCAAGGGATGGAGGGGTGTCGAGCGAGGGTACCCCGAGCGGCGAAAGCGGGGGAGAGAAGCTCGATTCCCGGGCTCTTGGGTCATCTGCAAAGCGGGGGGGAAGGCTCTTTCTAGGTTTTCCGCGAGCCTTTTGTGTCGACCCACCAAACAGGGGCGCATCGCCGCGTCCGACACGCCTTAGGAGCGGGCTTGGGCTGCCGCCAGACAAGACTTCATCTGATGCCGGGCGTTGTCGCGACGTGCGTCGAGAAGACGTTTTCTTCCCCTTAGACGTGGATTTTGTGCGCTTAGAGGCAGTGGCACTTTCACTTTCTTCCTCACCATCCCCTTCACTGTCAGGATTCTGATAGCGCCACTTTCGTACCTTGAGGTCGAGAAAGAATTCGAGGTCGCCCTTGTCGTAGCTGACATCATGAAAGAGGCGTTTACCCACGCGCAGGACATCCTTGATGACACCAGCATAGTACTTGCCATCCACGTGCCACATGATCTTAACTTTGTCCCCTCGCTTAGGGAAGAGGTCTTCGTCCAGCTCCTCTTCTTCGTCGTGTTCATCCTCGACGGGGGGATCGTCCTCAATCGCATCGCTCTTTGAGTCGACAAAACGCCACTTGCGGACGGAAAAGTCGACATAGTACTCGCGCTCGGCGGACTCGTACGTGACGTCATAGAAACGCTTGTTCTTAAACGTGAGGACATTGTCCACAACTCCCTCGTAGTAGATGTTATCAACGTGCCACAGGACGCGAATGCGATCACCCTTCTTGGGATACTTCGGGCGCTTCTTCCCGGGCTTTGCGGCTATCCGGGGCGCGCGCGGGGCGGGCTCCGAATATCGGCGGCGCGTGCGCATCGGGGAGAGTGCCTGCGAGCGGGTGCGACGGCGGGTGCTATACGAGTGCCTGACGGCGGATTCAGGGGAAGGCGGGGCCTCTGGCTCCAACGGAGGGACGGGGTTGCGGCGAACCTCCTCGTCCTCCTCCTCGGCGTCGCGGCCGTCCTCCGGACCCGGGTCTGCGTCCGGGTCCTTCTTGTCGTTGTCCGGATCGGACTGATCTTCCATCTCGACGTCGCCCTCTGCGTCATCGCCCACGGCGCCCTCCGCCGCGGGGCCCTCGTCTGTGTCCATGGTGACGGTAGCAGGCTTGCGCGTCCCCCCAGCGGGGTTGAGCGAGAAGTTGAAGATGGAGAACGACGCCTGCTTCGCGCGCGCTGCGCTCTTCTCAGCGGCTGATGCCTCCTTCACAGGCGTCTCCTCGGCCCCATCCGCGTTGACTTTGCCCCTATCGCCAGAGGCGGGCGCGTCATCCGACGCGGGAACGGGGCTCTTCGATCGGGGAAGCGCGTCTTTGTCTCGCTCCTCATTTGGTCGCACTTCCTCGCGCGGCGGCGCGGCGTCCTCCTCCATGCGCTGGCTCTCCGGCTCTTCGCGCGGCTCCTCTGCGCGCGGCCCCTCGGGCCTCGCAAGCTCTTCGCTGGGCTTCTCCGTGGTCGGCTTTTCGGGCCCCTCAGGCTCGGGGCTGGGCTCCTCCTCGCGCGGCTTGTCGGTCTCCTCGGTGGGCTCCTCACGCGGCTTCTTGGGGTCGTCATTAGAGTTGTCCGCATGCGGATTTTCGGGCTCTTCGGCAGGGTCTTCCGCGCTTGGCTTGTCCGATTTCGCAGGCTCGTCGCGCAGCACTT